TTGTGCTTGGATTCCTTTTACATACACTTTGCTATGCTTCTGTAGGTGTGTATGGGCAAAGGATATACTATACCCTTTCTCCCTTTCTCTTCTCATTCAGCATCCTGGATCCATTAACACTAAGTCATGGAGAATCTGTCTCCTTAACATTTTGAATGTGTGCTTCTGCTTTACCATTCCCACTCCCACTGCTTCTTTATGAGGAAAGCCCATTCTTTGGATCTCACTTGTATTCTTGCAACTAACTCCTAAAATTAGTGTTACCAACAATCAAAAGATAATATCTACACTATATGCAAGGCATGAAATACAACTGAATAGAGAAGACAAAAATAATACAACCTCTGGTTCCTCTCTTTAAGGAGCCTACAGAATAGTCAGAGAAACTAAACTGTCTTCCTATAAAATAAGTAAAAAATTAAGATAGCATTCCATACAACAATTGTAATCATCCCATACATTAACATGCTGTTTGCATCACGGAGGCAACCAAATCAGAAATTCAAACTATATTACAAATGGCAACTTATTTTTACTAAATTTTAAACCAGGTTTGTAAGAAGCGGCTTTGGCCTGAATTATTTTGATACTAACATGCCCCTTACTTTTTCCTACCTCTCCTCAATTCTTGATTCCCAGTAGCCCAACTTTTAGCTATTCCCACTGACCACACTACTACCAGTATCTATATACTAGGACACAGATATACTCCCAATATCTAGTTTACTTTGTTCTTTCTAAACAAAATGTAACTGATGCTTCTTTAAGGTCATAGTTAGCTGATGTCTCTAAAGGTACAAATGAGCACTTTTAGTCCCGTTCCATTTTCTCTTCAGCATCAGTCCAAATCGTGCTCCAGGGGATTTTGAAAGATTGACTCAGAGTAGACTGAGCTTGGGTGTCCTCACACAGCTAAGTCCAAAAACTAGTCCTCTATCAGCTGCTGAAGGTCAGCTTAGGCTGCCTGAAGGCTAGGGAGCCCAGCAAGGAACAATGGCAGGGAAATAGCTTTCCCTTCAGTCCTTAATTCACATGCAAGTGAGGTGCCAATCAAGTGCTGACAAGCATGGAGAAACTAAAATCAAAAGTGGGCAGAGATACACTTTCAAAAGGAGCCGTTTTCACACATTTTAAGTGATGGTTGTGAACATATCACTAATAATACGGAGAAGGAAATAAAAGTCGTAAGAAAAATAATAATTTTATATCAGCTAAGATGGTTCAATAAACTAATGAAATATATTGGTTAAAACTGTTTAATGTGTTTTATAAAAGAATATCAACACTCACACTTTGATTAAAGAAAGAAATCTGAATGCAAACTGATTTATCGAGCACTGCAAACACGGAAGGTAAGGTGAGCTGAGACTGGAAACTGGGCATTGACAAGGAAAGCTAATCTATTTCCAAATAAAAGAAAATTTTAAGGTTCCTTGATTTGTCAAACTATCAGCCAGAAAGAAAGACAAGACCAAAGCACTTTGAAATGACCAACAATGTAAGCAATAGAATCACTTCATCAAAGTGGCTACTGAAAGAGATGATAAAAAGCTTAAAACTGTGTTGTTTTTTCATGACAGTTTCCAACAAATGAGGTTGTATTTTTAACAACTAATAAAACAAAAGTAAGCTGCATTCTTTCTAGATGCCTTTCCGAATGAATTTGGTAAATGCATTCTGGTTATGACTACTCACTCTATCATGTATAAAACAGAATTTCTAAAAAAAAAAAAAAGAAATTTAAGACTTTGTAAATGATGGTTTAATAACTGTAACTCTATATATTGGTGCTATTTTAAATGCAAAGAAAAGAAAACACAGGGCAAGTATGTTACTTTAAAAATTCATTACTAATGCATAAAATAAATAGTTCTTCTCTTTTGTCTTTAATGAGTGAATGCTGGAATCGCTACCAGAACTGTCTTATCAATATCTATTTCTACATGGATCACAAAGATTAGAGAATCAGAGTTTGAGTTGATATCATATGGTGATTATAAATGCAGTGAAAAGGATATTTTTAATATTACCTTTCTTATTATTTTAGTAAACTGTATGCTGATTTTTATGGTGTTAAATCTGATCAAGTTCCAAGATTTATTACCATAACATGAGTATTGCTTTTGAAAATAAATTTCTTAATTTATAATGTATTTTTCAGGAGAAATTCAACACTTTAGGATGGGACATAATCAGAAATGTTCTCAGTTTTCCAAAAAACAACAGTTCGCAAAATGTGAAAGTTCTACAAATATTTTGTGGTCTAAACGTTAAAGTCATTTATTTTCAGGTATCTATTAGCAGCACATTTAATTTTAAACAATTGTACACAATTTTATTTTAATTTAATGGCAAGATATATCTTAAAATATGAGAATGGTAGAAAAACTCCATGCATTCCCACATGATGTTCCAAACTAGAACTATTCTAAAAAGAAGGGCGGGGGTGGGGGGGCGGGGTGTAGAAAGAGATAGAGAGATAGAGAGGAAGGACGTGTGGAGAGCCTTTAAACAGGAGTGAAATTTTATGACAATTCAAAAAAAAGTTAAACTTTACTGAAATCCAAAAGATTTAATGTCTGATGTGTATAAAGTACTACTGAGACAGAATTCTAAAACAATTTTCACAATTCACTGTCTTGTAAAGTTAATAGTAAAATTCTGAATCTTTGTAAAACAATTTTATATACTACACTAATGTTGAAAAACCCCAAGAGAATAAATATTTGTCAACATTTTAAAACACTATGATTTCCCCCCTAAGAATATCAGGGAGAATAGGAAATAATATTATTCAGCTTTCAGCAACAAGCAAAGGTTTAAAAATATTTCAATGTTTTCTGTTGTTTCTTTAACAATGTTGTCTTTTAAAAGTCTTTTTGAAATTAAGTAGAAACATAATGGCCTTAAATATATTAATCCAGCTTTGTCAAAAATTTCTGTAAAACTCATCAGCGGTGTTTGTTGTTGTTATTTGCTTAGTGGAATGTATTTTATTAGGTCAGAAACCACTTCTTCGGTTGCCACCATGTGTACGCCCCTATTACATCCCCTCATCAAAGTTACTTCACAAAAAGTAGCAAATGTTATTCAGTTGAGATGATCACCATTAATATTTTAAAACCTAAACAAGGTACATTACATTAAATAGACTTCTCAGCCCTGGTGTTGCCTGACAGATATGTGATGTGCCAGTGGTTATATTATATTCCTCCTCCCATGCATGCACCTCCTGCAGAGATAGCAGACTACAGAAGCTGACCCTCACTGAGACCATCTTGTCTCTCTGACAAAGCTCCTTTTTAACTTCTTACTTACTGGTTACTTCCTGTGATGGAGAAAAACTTTAGCTCAGCTTGTGATAATTTCACAGGCCCTGAGGACCCTGACCCTAATAGCCTCAAGGTCAGAAGTCAAGTCTTGTTCTGAAACATCTGTGTGCTTTATATTAAAGTGGAACAAAAGTGGAGAAATATCCACCAGTGTGTGACAAGAAGGATAGGCAAAATAGGACTGACACACTGGTCATCTGTTACTCTGGCATCTTAAGTTCATTTTGAGAACTGTCCAGTATTCACTTAAATTCTAAATTTGATGTATCGAAGGTTTTATTTTTTTTTTTAAACTGTCTTAGAGTACTAAATGGGAATTTATGTTTTACAGTAATCTGGACTTTGGTTAGTCTTGCAGGCTTCAAATATATTTTAAGGTATTCTACAAGTCAATGAAATTTCGTGTGTTAAGTAATTTAATGGCTTACAAAGAAAACCTAGGGTACATATGTGTACACTATAGGTATAGGCGTGTGTGTGTGTGTATATTAGATCTCTATCTGTAGGGTCTACAGACAACTGTTTGAAAGACAACATCCTCATACTACTATGATAAAGAACTATTGTCAAATATCCATTACATATTAACATAAATAAATATAGCAGAATTAAAAGTACTTGAAAATAATTCCTAAAAAGTGAAATCAATTTAATAAATAAGAGATTTAACTTATTTACTGACCTTAAAAGAGCATAAGCATTTGAAAATTTAGGTCAGTTAAAGTATTCCCAGGTGTCACCACCAGTTTTATATCTAAATCATGTGGATAAGCAATAAGGTGTGGGGAGGTTGAAAAGGCCATGAAAATATATTTAATTTCCACAACAAAGAGAAAAGCATACCAAAATTTAGAAACATAAAAGCTAGACAGCCAATGCTGTGCCTGCTTTTGATGTCCACTTTAGGCTATTTGGATTTAAAATGATCACATGCACTGTTACCAAATGAATCATTTTATTACAGGAGCACTGGTACCTCCTGTAACATGAGGTTTATGGACATGGAGGCACAAATTCTTCATTAGTACATTTTTGGTATGAAATATATCCCTTTAACTATTCACATTGGCATTAGGTGTGGTACTTATAACACTGCCAACGATAAAAAAAATTTAAATCTTGATAATTTTTCCTATAAGGTATCGAAACTCCAACAGATTACTTTAAAATGTAAAGATTTTTGTGGCCAAACCATAAATTTCAGTTAGCAGATTAATGTAATGTTTCTGGTGGTTTTAATACTAACTATATGAATTCTTACCAAGTATCAAGTACTAAGTTGTTACAGATAAAAGTTAAACAAAATATTCTCAAATATTCAATGTCTCTTTACATTTTAAACAGTTTACACATAACATAATCCTCAATCATGTACACATAAAACAGGAAATAGAAGTGTCATAAAATGTAGGAAAATGGTCTTTAATATAGAAATTAAGAAGTTACATGTAAATAAGGAATAGGCAAAAAGCCTTTTGGTTAGCACTGAAAAGCTCTGCCATAATAAAATAAATAAGTATATGTTTTTTAAACATTATAAAATTACTCAAAGTACTTTGTTTTCATCCTCTATAAAGTAATTCAAAGTAATGATATCAATTAGAAGTGACTGGGGGGGATAAGCCTGTGAAGACTGGGAATTAAAAACAGAGTTAAATGTGCACTTACCAGTTCAACAAAAGCAAGTCCTCCATAGCTGTGAGCAACAAAAAACACATTCTCAGCTGCAGATTGGGCTATGAAATGGTCCCACACATAGACTGCATGTTCTTCAGGGGAACCATTTTCCTATAAAGAAAACAAATGTCCTATATTATGCACTGTATCTATTATCATAGTAATCAAAAATTAAATTATATTCTTGCCTACACAGACCAAGAAATAAGATGGTTATAGCTCACTGAAAATAATTATCAATACAAAAGAAATAGCACTGAAAATTCATATTACAGGATAAAGTATTAAAATACTAGTAATTACTGCTAAGCTTAATTGCTACCATAATCTTCAGAAACAAAATATTTAAAACAACCATATTTTGAGGGGAAATTACATTCTGGATATATCTGAGATATTAAATTATACTTATATATACTTTAGAATTACATAGCAGAAAGTTACAGTATTCTTATGGTAGAAGAGTGTTAACATTAAAAAAATTCAGTTACGTTTCTACAATTACATGTGAAAATATTTCTGCTATACATAAATCCGATTTTTTAATTTATAAAATTTTAAGTATCTCTACAAGCTAAAATAAGCAGAAAATTACTAACAAGTATCCTCTATTTAAATTATTTAAAAATACTCTTTTTAACAAAAATGCTTTCCATACATATTTTATTTCTAGAACTGGGAGAAATCTAAACATAAAAACCCAGAGACTTCTATATTTCTCCTAACTTGCTAAACCCTAGTATATGCATATTGCTTTAATTTCAAAAGTTCTATAATAATTTCATTTTGTTGTATTTATTTTGTTAGTTGATACAGGTTTCGATTAAAGCTTAACCTGGATAATGAGAAAAAAGAAAAAAAAACCCAAAGAGCTAAATAATACTGATCCAAATACAAACTGATAAAAACTAAAGCAAATCATGAAAGTGTTTTGTACAAATAACTGTTCGAAGCTTTAACTCCAAAGACTAATTCCCTAAAACTGTCCTGATACTAGGCAATGAACGCAATTTATTCACATTTTCCAGCTTAGAAATTTTATACTATCATATTAAGGTCCACAATATGACTTTCCTTGGCATCTAGAAGCTATTGTTCTCTGGTGTCTGTCTGTGACCTAAATTTCTCTTCAAAGCTCCAAACCTATATATCCAAGTGCTTGATGGTCTGTCTTTTCTTTTTGGATGTGCTACAGATACTTCAAATTCAACCAATTCAACACTGCACTAGACATCCCCTCTACAAACCTGTGTCACTGTCTTTGCTCCCCACCTCCAGACAAAATCTGAGCATCTTTTCTCTCTCGCTCAAACTCCACACATAAAAATCATTAAAATCTCACTGATTTTTGTATCCAGCTGTATCCGAAATGCATCCACTCCTCTCGTTTCTCATTTCCTCTGGCTTAGCTCAAACCACCATCATTTCACAAGTGGATGACTGCAATGGCCCCCAGTCCATATTTACTGTTTTTAGGATTGCCTATTTAAATGCTCTAGTTTAAAAGTAAGAATAACCTTTTAAAAACGCAAATATGAACATGTTGCCATGTTATTTACTCTGCTTACAGATCCTTCAAAACTGATTCACTGCCCTCAGGATCAAATAAATTCAAACTCTGTTAGACATTTAAGACCTTTCATAATCTGCTTCTGCCTTCAACTGCATCTCTTACCACCGCTCTGCAATATAAGGTGACCAAAAGACATCCTTTCCCCCCAGTGAGAGACCATACAGAATATTGTCTGTGTTTCAATTTCAGGGAACAATTTCCTAACTGTGCCAAACTTTGTTTTCTTTAGGCTATATCCTTTGTTTGGAAAGTAACTCCTGTGCTCCACTGTCACTTCACCCACCATCTTCACCTGCATAATTTCTGTTTTTCAAAATAAAACATTACCTTCTTTCAAAAGTCTTCCTGATCACCCCCAAGACTAGGTAATGTCCTACAACAATATCTTGTGCATGCTGCCATTATTGCACTGAATAATTTGTACTGTAATTGCTTGTTAGATTATCAAAGTCTTGAAGCCAAGAGCTATGTCTTGTTCATTGAATCTTAGTGTAAGAAATAAATAATGAAAACACAACACAGTGTTTCAGGATGACTGCTTACTACCTTTAGTCATATACTAAAATACAAATATGCTTTCAAAGTTATCTACTGGTAATATGCACATGAAATTACCCACTTTTAATGTATATAATAAAATAAATAAAATAATAATAATTGGAAAGAAATATATGTAGGGCATTTTTAGCTTTATAATTTAGCTTTCACTAGTTTAAAAAGTAGAAAATGGTTATCATAAAAATCAGCACAGTCGTTAACTCTAAGGAAAAGAGACAGTTGTTAACAGGAAATAGACTTCTAGTGGCTGGCAGTGTTTCATTTCTTGACTGGAGTGGTAACTACACAGGTGTATTCTTTATAGTTATAGTTAAACTGACTAATACAAACTTAGCACTTTTTTGTACATGTATGTAGAGTGACCACAGAATTTACTATACAAATCTCTGAAAATGAAGAAAGGTATCATTAGGTATTGAATGAGAGAACAGGTCTAAATTGGTACTGCCCAGAGAGAACACACCCACCTGGACACCCTAATTATTTATATCTTACAATGAAAGAAATACAAAAATAAAACAGGAAGAAAGATAACAGAGGTTCTACTTCTGACAGTTGGCAGAACCAACAATCTTACATACCTTTTATGTGGAGAGAATAAAAACAGAGGAGATGAACTTTGTCCCTTTAGGTTTCATGCTGGAAATGGAGGTGTAAGGATGATAAGAAGTAAGCCATGACTCTGGCCTGTAATGTGTTTGCAGTTTCATAAGGATGTTAACACATACAGATAAAAGAGGCAGTAGCATGTGAGGAGTATTATTTTCTCTATTCTTGGCAGAGTGTCGACATCTAGTCCTATGGGTCCATTATAAATCCATATGATGTCATCTCAGCGAGGTCTTCCAAGCTTTCTTTCTACAGTCACCAACTCTTCCTTTACACGGTTGAGATCCTATCTGTCCCATCCCTTCCATTCCCACCTGTTTGGGTCCTCTTACAAGATTCCCAACTATTCTTATTTCTTCTAGTTTTTCCCTTTACTGTGTTGCCAGATCAATCTTCCTGAAGCCTGGCCCTGATCAACCATTCTCTAGCCCGAAAATGTCATTTACTAGAATAGTTCCGACTGCCTACAAAATACCTGGAACTCTTAGCCAACATCTTCTCTAAACTGATCTTTCAAGCTTCCGTCTCATTATTTCCAGGGACTTTGTATTCATGCTCCAGGAAAATTTGGACTATACTTTAATACAGAAGCTATCAACTTACAGTGGTTAGTCTTAATGCTTTTTTGATGGTGTGAAAAGCAATACACCTTCAGTAAAAACTGCACTGTGAATTTTGACCTTTTCCTAGGCTAGTGATACTCTGTACAATATGGAACTGGGTAGTGGCAGTGAGCCAAGATCTACCAGGGACATGATCATAAGTGTCAGCAACTAATAAACTCACAACCATTCTATACTCACACAACCATTCTGTTTTTCATTTTCAGTACAGTATTCAATAAATTACATGAGGTATCCAACATTTTATTATAAAATAGACTTTGTGTTAGATGATTTTGCCTAAGTGTAGGCAAATGTGAGTGTTCTGAGCATGTTTAAAGTAGGGAAGGCTAAGATGTTCAGTAGTTTAGGTGCATTAAATGCATTTCTGATTTACAACATCTTCAGCTTACAACAGGGTTTATCGAGATGGAACTCCACTGTATGTCAAGGAAGAGTTGTGGTCTGAAAACCCTGGGCAAAACTCTATCATGAAATTTGGTCTGGGATCTCATGAAGCAGCTCATATTAGGCAAAACTTAAAAGGTAAAGAACACGTCCAAAGTAGCAGTTCAATTATTCATATATGAGGTAATAAAGACTATAATACTACTCAGGGTGATAGAATAAATAGAAAGGAAGGGATGGAATGAGTCATTATAAAGGAAGAATTGGCAAAACTTTGTGACTCATAGGATATGAGGGAAACTGCCAACCAGGTCCCAAATGACACATCTATGAATAAAGGAGAGCTAAGGAGCTAAGAACCAACAGTTCTTTCCATCATTCACAAATAAGACTACAGTTTTCAGAGATTAGTATCATATCTGGGTCTTTCCCTCCATGCTTATGGAGACAATAACTGTTAACAGTGTCCTGTCAGCAGTAGGGAAAAGAAACCTCAAGATCCACGTGCCCCAAGTATTTAAATATTTTTAGCTTGAGTGTAAGGTTATCAAATGACTCCCCAGCTTTAGATTTTAAAACCAAATGTTCTAAGAGGTGAGACCCAATTAAAAAAAAATGTCTACTATACCCAGTTAAGGGTGCCATCTATACTCACAACTAAGCGATTACACAAGACTATTCTGGGACACGCTTGACATCTACTGATCCAAAAAAGATATAGGGTAGGAGTCACAGTTTGCCAGCAGGGTAGCACCAGCCATTCCTTTTAAGTGGGAGCTTCGCAGAAGCTCCTGTAGAAGATCAGATGGCCTTCCAGTAGTTACTGTCTTTGTTCCATGGAATACTAGTTCGGGAGTGAGGGAATCAGACTCACTTTGGGCAGATGCAAGAGTTACCCCTGCCCTGAAAGTCTTATACCACACAGAAGCTAATACCACTTGCAACAACTCAATAGGTATTGCTTTCAGGATCCCTGTCTGCAAGGGACATGTCCAATTACAGAAGCTATACCTTCAGGGAAGATCAAAGATTTGATATTTATAATTCCTTTTAATCCAGAAAAAGTTTACCAATCAGGGGTCATTTTCTACTGTAGGCAATGTGTGCTAGCAACTGGTCACTTAGAGTGGATGCTATTATGGTATGCTTCCCAGAATCTCCTCTCTGAGGCAACTTTTACCCAATGATTGACCAAAATGACATGGATCTATTGAGGCTCTATCTCTTGCCTCAAGGCAAGACACCTCGGAAAAGTCATACCAGATCCAGAGATCACCAGTGGAGTTAAATGAGGTCTTTGTTGTGATTGTACTGTGATTCAACTTCTTCAGCCAAATTCTATTTTTCAAACTCCCCTATGG